GGGCACATTTGTTTAGTCCCCCTCTCCCATCTCTAGGAAACTGCCTCTACCTGTTGAGACCCTCATCTCATTCAAAGGAAGTATCCACCTGTCCCTTCATCCATCTTTTTGAATCCGCACAGCTGCTTGCTCCCTTGTGTGTCTCTGGCAGTATTTTCATGATAGTCATTTCTGCTTACCTTCTCACATGTAAAAAAGAAGGAAGAAAAGGAGCTGGAATGGAGGACAGAGAAAGAGAGAGAGAGTACTAAGGAGACGGAGAATTTGTCTATTTTCATTTACAATTGTAGAACTCCTTATTTACTTTTGTCATCATCTCTTCAAGAAAAATGTCAAAAGTGTCCTCTCGTTTTTTTCTCAGTCTCAGATCTGCACCAGTTTGTGTGTTACATAGCATGACTTTGATTAGTAATTTAAAATCCTTGACAGGAAGTTTCTTAGAAATGACTTCAAATACAAAATCTACGGGTTAAGAAATCAAAATGTAGCAGAATAGAGTGAACTATATTCTAAATTGGTTCCTGGAAACAGTACCAGCCAAGGACCACAGCACCCGCGGTGTCCCGACTGCAGAGAGGAGAAAGCTGTTCCGAGTCACAGTGGCTTTTTGCGAACAGCAAAGAGATAAATTATTCCACTTATTAATTCTGTACACAGAACTTCATAAAGTCCCTCAAGTCAACAACACAAGTACCTAGGAGGGAAATAGTGAACGTGCGAGAGGTGATGAGCTAATTACATGATTATTGAAATATATTACAGTAAACAGCCAGCAAATCTAAAGGGGTTGAACTTTTCATCTGAATGCACCTTCTAGAAGGAAGTTACCAAAACAAAGAGAGAGCACACTGCTGTGTTGGGGAACGGAATATTTTATGCTTCATTGCTGGTCTCATTTAAATACGTTCCTCTGAATAATGTTAAATATTTTAGAGTGGAAATACGGTATTTCATTGCTATTTGCAAGAATTTTTTTTCAGTATGCGCACAAGAAGCATATTTCTCTCTAACCCATCATCTTAGGATCAAGAAAAAAAAGATAAAAACTAGCACATAATCTGGTCGGTGTGGGAATGAAGAGTGCTTTTAACATTAAGTGCATTTAGAATGTTAGACTGACCGCGTTTTCATTAATGTGAATGATACGAGCGGATCGTTAACAACTTAGTATGCGGGGCTCGCACGTTAAAATCTGACTCACGATGTGGTCCGGCTTCCTTGTTTTCGTTAAATTGCTACCTCCCGGCAGGAACCCAGACAAACGGGGTGCCTGCATCACTCTGTGTGACTTTCCGTGGGAAGCTTCCAGAAAGGGTTGCATAATTGTGAATAAGCTTTTTGGCAGAAATGTGAAAGCTTCCATTGTGCTCAGACAAGGACAGAGGCCAGCATTTGAGGGGAGGTTGCTACAGTTTTGCCAAATTGTGGAAGGGAAAATGCATGGGGCCAGTTGCAAGGCTTAGCTGCATCTTTCTAACCTAAACACATGGAGAAATAGGGGGTCCATTTTTTTAGATTTGACTACAGTTACAGCTCTACTAGGGTGAAGATTCAAAATATTTTTTAATGAAAGTTATAAATAGAAACAATGTATCAGGATTGGTGTAAGACACCATAAAATCAACCACGATTTTGCCAAACGTTTGAATGAAATGAGCCTTTCGATAAGTAGAACTAAACCTTTTGGACAGTGCGGCCTCCCTGATTATCCTAGCAACGACTCCCAGTGTCTGCTTATCTCCATTTGCCCCCTGTTTTCATTCCCAATTTTGTATCTACTGCGCCCAGAACCCAGACCTCTGCTCCGTGGGGGCTGAGTCCTGAGCTCCTCATGGAGAAAGTGGCACCGCCTTGAGTGAAAGCTCAGGTCTGCGGTGTTCTGAATTAGAATATCCTCTCCAACCTGTTTCTCCCAAGCCTGCGCCCGCACCCTCTTCTGAGTTCAGGTCCAAACTCCTTTTACAAAGTTGTGTTGCTCTGAGTCTCAGGAGACAGTAGTTCCTGCCCGACACGAGCTCAGTCCCACGGCTGGGTCTCTGCACGTGCTGCTTTGGGGGTGCACTGACCCCGCTGCCACGCAAATCCGGGGGCGAGGGTGCCATCTACAAGCAACCGAAGCCGCCGCTCAGCCGCTTGCTGGTCTGCGCAGCTCTGAGACTCAGTTTCTCAGTCCCCTGGAGTGGAGGTTGTGGAACTCTCTGGCACTTACCTTCCCGAAGTTTCACGAGGCTCCTATGAGATTGATGTTCTTTGCAAACTATCAACTTCTGTACGATGTGAATTTTCATTATTAAAATTGCTTTATGTGCACATGGCTTGTTTCTTCAGGCAATTAAAATTATTGATGGGGTGTAACCATCCTTTATACTCCACTGAGTTGCTGGAGGTTTCATAGAAGCACAAACGTCACAGATTGTAGGTGCTCAGTAAGTACCGTCCCAGCAGCTGTCAGTTCACCCACCACCAGCGGGGAAGGCCGCAGCCCTCCCCCTCTCCCCCTCCCCCCTCCCCGCCCACCAGCCCTTCCCCAGCCACGCACACTGACCGCCGAAAGCGCTAACTGACCCTGCTGCCTGGGTACCAGGGGCGTGACTGGAAACTGCCAGGAAGTGCCGGGCCCTTCCATGGCCCCAGCGGCAGATCCTGTCCCCGAGAAACTGCCGGGAGGGAGGGCCAGGCCGCGCGGGGCGCCCTGAGCAGCGGAGCCGCGCGCGCAGCCGGGCCGGGTCGGCGGCCGCGGGCGCGAGCTGCGTGTCAGCGTGGGCGCTCGCGACGCGCTGCGGTGAGGGCGCACGCAGGCGGGGCGCGGGAGGCCGGGAGGCCAGCGAGGGACGGGCCGGACGTCGTCAGCCTCCAGGAGGAAGGGCCAGGGAAGCAGGGCTGAAAGGCCACAGCTGCTCTGCGAGGCTGGGTGCAGGATGCGGCGGGAACAGCTCTTCCGTTTCTTTTAACGTAAGCAAAGCAGCCTCACGAATAAAACACGACTGCTTGGCGGAATGCCTCGTGATTGCAGAGTCCCTCTGGGGACAGTGGATTGAGAGTCCGCATTTATTAAAACATACAGTAACCATAATACCAGTAATGAATCTCAGCGCTTGTTTTTTCACCTTGTCTCTGCTTCAGAGGTGCAGAATGTTCAGATGCTCTAACTGCAAAAAGTAAGTTAGTAACAGATGGTCTCTTAAAATTACACCCAAGAGCTTAGGGTCCAAACCCCTTTCCTGGTACACCAGCAGGACCCTGGTTTGACCCCTGCACTGAGTCGTCACTGCACACAGAAAATTTGGCTCCTCCCAAGACACGGGTGCTGGGTCAGGTCTCCATATAGCTCTCAAGGCAGATGATAAAAATTTAGGTGTGATCACCATTCTATTTTCCTTGACATTTCTCAAATCCCATACTTTTCTCTTATTAATCGTGATTTTTATTATTACCTTAATATTTTTAAAAATACTTTGCAGCTTTTTAAAGACTTTTTATAGACATTGCTTTTCAGAGCCTACATCAGTCCTCAAGATGGGCTGGATAAATAAAGCAGGGGAGAAACCTGCCTTACAAAAGTTAGGTAACTTGTCTGACAATTCACCAGTCTTTTGTATTAAATGCATTTTCTGACTTTTAAAGATTACGGGTTCTCAACCTTATTCTTTCTGTTCAAACTCTCTTGAACCCTCACTTTATCTGGTGTCCACTCTACCCTCCCATTCCCCATTGATGACCTCCCCTTCCTTTATTGGGAATAGAGTAGTCAATGGAACCATCTGGTTGGTCACCGATACAGCTGTGCACCTGCCTGCTTGCACGGCTCCTCCTCCTCCTCCTCCTGTTAGAGCACCACCCCCAGCACACACAGCACCTGTGCCCCCCAACGCTTTTGCCTCCGAGGCCACCTCCAGATCCAAAACGCTCAAGGATCAGTGATTGAGAAACCAAGGAGAAACCTGCTGCTTAGAAGCTAGAAACCTGAGCAGAGCTTTCGTCCTTCTCGCAGGACTAGAGAGACAAAAAGCGGAGTTCAGAGCCATTGGAAGAGGAGGGGCCTTATAAACACCCTAAGCTTTCTGTTGAGATCTCTGAGTGGCTCTTCCCTGACAGAAGGAGCCAAGAGAAAATACACTCGCGCTCACAAAGTCTGAAACTCCAATTCAAAACATCTCAATTCCTGGTAGCTGAAAGAAAACTAACCAATATCAGAGAAGATAACAATATGGTAAGGTACAGAAAGGGACAAAATAAACTGTCATTATTCTCACATGAAGTGTTTGTGGACAAAGATATCAAAACACTGCAGGTAAATTACAATAATTCATATGTGAATTTAATCATATCACTGGATACAAGTTCAATATAAAAATTAAGTATAATTCTATATAGTAGCAATGAGCAAATATAATGAAATACACAAATTTAAATAAATAAAAGTGGATAAAATAAATTGAAACACTAATCAACACCATTAACAGTGTCACAAAAATCTGTAATGTCACAATGAATCTACAAATGATGTATGTAAAACTTCTATGAAATTTACAAAATAAGAACTACTAAGAATAACTGAAGAAGACTTAAATATATGAATGGACATATTTTATGCACTGAAGTTTCAATGTTGGAAAGATGTAATTGTTCCCAAAAGGATCTATAATTTCAAAGCAACACAGAACAAAATTCCAGGAGATTTTTTTCAGGAAGAGTGTGGAAACTGACCAGCCAATTCCAACATTTTTATGGGAATGCAAAGGTCCAAGATAAGAAGGAGAACTGTAGAGGTCTTACACCATTAGAAATGAAGACTTACACAGCTATAGTCATTAAGAGAGTAACCTAGCACGGGGGTAGACAAATAGGACAGAGGAATGGAAGGACGTTCAGACACAGTCACACATTAACATGGCCACCCGATCTGCAGCAAAGGGGGGAAGGCCTGAAAGCAGGTGAAAAAACAGCCTTTTCAGTAAGATGTGGTAAGGCCCTTCACAATAGACTATCTCCAATTGGACAATAAATACATGAAAGGGCATTCAACTTCATAATCCATCAGGAAAATACAACTTAAAACTGTAACAAGAAACCTCTACACATCGTTTAGAATTGTTAAAATGGAAAAAAAAAGATATTACCAAGTTGAAATCTTCCTACACTTAGTAGGAATGCAAGATGGTGTGACTTTTTGGAAATAAACTTTGGCAGTATCTATTAAAGCTGCACATATGCAAACTTTTGACCAGCTGTTCTGTACCTGGAAATTTAATTGACAAGAAATGAAAGCATTTTTCTACAAAAAAAGATGTTAGAGAATAGTAAGCATCTTATTCTTTATTGAACAAAACCAGAAACAACATAATGTCTACCAAAATAGAATGCACTGGTAAAACGTGGTCTATTGAAAAATACATATACGGTATAGCAATGAAAGGGAAGGAACTGTTACACTGAGTGACATGAAGAAGTTTCACAAATAAAATAATGTGAGAAAGAAGTCAGACATATATAAACTCATGCTGTATGGTGATTTCTCCTCTATAAAGTTCCAAAATATGCCAGACTAAGTGATGGTGATAGAAACTGGAAACGCTGTCCTTTTTTGTAAGAGGTGATGACCAGGAAGAAACTAGAAAGATGTTTCTGGGTTTTTCTGAAATGGTGTCTGTCTTCATAAGAAATGCTGTTTCCACAAGAGTTGTTTCTGATGCCTAACTTCATTAGAAATTTTCTACCTAGACCCTTACTATTTGTACATTTCTCTCAATGAACATTAAAATTTAATAAAAATCACTTAAAAACACATGCTGTATTATTTCTCATTCAAAACCAAAAATCTTCCATCAACTCTCATGAACTCTTGGTGCCATGTGGCTTGGCTGTGTCTGTACAGCCAGACTCCCAACTTCTAAAGAGCCTCGCCAGTGCACTTCTTCTTCATGTCCTCCCCTCTCATTTTTCTCCAGTTTTCTCATGTACTTTTCTCCTCAAATCCACAAAGAATGTCCTTTATAAAGATACAAAAGAATGGATCATTACTTCAAATCCCTGTCCTGTTCTGTCCTTGTTCATCTCTCAGCAGAATTGAGCACTTCTGGAATCTCCTTCCTTCTTAAACACTCTCCTTTGTCAGCCACCGTGAGACTGCATTTTCTGACTTTTCTTCCTGGTCTCCCAGGTTCCTCATTCTCAGTCTCCTCTGTTGGGCTGCTGCTTTGGATAGCCTCAAAACACTGCATTTCATCAACCTGTCGTAAAGGTTACCACAGTTCTCATTTTAACCGGCAAACTTACAAACTCCTAAATAGGTTTATTAATTAGGAGAACGATGTTTAATTTTCCAATGTGAAGTACATAGTTCACTTTCATTTAATATAATTATTGTTTCCTTTAATTTTTTTCAGCTTCCTATTGGTTTGACAATTGTCCTATTCAGCCTTTGTCTTTAGTCCTCCTTTCCTGTGCTCTTTTGGAATAATCTAGTGTGTTTAATCATTTCATTATGTCTTTTCTATTAGTGTTGTTTTTATAACTTTTTTGTATTAATTTCTAATTAAGAGTCTAGACAATGAAATCTATACTTTATCTTATTCAGTTATTTCCTAAATAATTGTCTTTCCCATATCTAGATTAGTACAAGTGTCATATAACAGTTTAAATATATTTACCTGGTTTGGGTCTTTGTGTCAATGTTGTTGTGTGGTTTATTTATACACCTGTTATAAATCCAAATAGATACAGTTATTTTTTTGTTTAAAATCAGCATTCTTTAATGTTTATCCTCGTTTGCGTTTTCTACTCTTCGTTTCTTCCTGAGTTTTAACTTCCACGTTCAGCACTTTGACTATAATGTGCCTAGATAAGTTTTTCTTCGTATTTATTCTATATAGATTTAACATTGATATATTTGATCATTATTGGAAAATTCTCAACCTTTTGGTATTCAGTTTTTGCTTTTGTTTTAGTCTAGTTCTCAGCCTCCAAATGTACGTATATGAGACCATTTAACCATGTTTATCCATTTCTTATATGTTGTTCTATCTATAATTTTTCTTTTATTTCTCCTTTTGGTGCTTTAATTTGTATATTTTCTATTTGTCTTTCATTTTACTAATTTTGCTTAAAATTGTGTCCAGCCTGCTGTTAAAACCACCCAATGAAGTCTTAATTTTATATGTTTTATTATTTAGCTGTAGAGTGTTCTTTTGATCCTTTTTTGTAGATTCCAACTCCTCATTAAATTCTCTTTTCTGTATTTGTCTCTGTATTAAGACAAGTTTACATTAGCTACTTTAAAGTCATTGCCTGCTAACTTCTAAGTCAACAGTGGATTGGCTTCTATTACTTGTTTTTTGCTTAGTTACACGTTATGTTTTCCTACATCTTTACATTTCTTGTAATTACTTAAAGTGGGCCTTATGTTTTAATAAACTGTAGAGAAGAAAATCAATATTATTTCTCCATAGATACGGTTTTTCTCATTTGTTTATTAGACAGATTGGATGAGGGGGCTGATCAACTCAATACAGTAATGAATTTTGTTGCGTTCAGACTGGATTTCAGTTTCAAATGTGTTGAAATTGAGCCTCTTTATTGAGACTTCGTTTTCTAAGCACTGTGAGCACTGAAGATGATTAAATCTGTATTTCAGTCCATTCTCAAGGTTCGCATTTGTCTCAGCTTCCATCAAACATTCTGCAAAGGAAACAGGAGCGTGCATTTGGAGTTCCCCTAATTTCAATCCATTGTGTCAGCCCAGGTGTCCTTCAGAACTGCATTGCTTTCTTCAGTGATCTTCTGCCCACCGCAAGCCTGGTTCTTAGCCTGCTCCCTGAGTCAAGAAATTTTCTGAAAGAAAATAAATTTCCATTGATTCAGTTTACTTAGAAAAAACATTTTTCTACTGGACATTATAGTCTTTCTGATCCTCTCAGTTAACGAGACCTCACATATCTTTTAAAATGTCTCCTTTTTTGACCGTGTTAATGTCACTAGTTGTCACAGGACAAGGGAAAACGTGCCTCCACCTGCAACATCCTGTAACAGCAGGGAAAGCTCTGATACCAATTTATTTACCTTGACACTAAAATCCTCCTCAGAAACTCTCTCTGTCTCCTTGTATCTTTCTCTGTGTGTGTGTATGTGTATGTGTGTTTGTGTGTTTCAAAGCTTTGTAGTACCAAGTGAGGATTACATTTTTATTTTATGTTAAAATAAAAATAACTTCTCCATCAGTACAAAATATGTAATATTTTCAAAAGTTTTGAGATATTTAATTTTGAAAATTAAAAGATTCTCAGTCATTTTATTTTAAATAGTAAATATAATTTGTTTAAAAGTCTAATTTTTTGGAATTCAAGGCTGGCAATTTTCTACAAAATTTCAATAATTTCTGGAAAAATTATATTTATAATTTTTTTCCGCAGAGACAAAGTATAAGTTAAAAGTATAATTTTATATAAATAGGTATGTAACAATATTGCAACAAAAGGATGTAATACAATTGTAATATTTAATTTAATTTATACATCTGATATCAAGTTAATGTTCAATCATAGCAAATATGTGTAATAATATAATCAAATTCATCTACTAGGTATATGATTTTTATTAGCTGTATCTAAACATTATTTGAAAAATAAACTATTTGTATAACATTTTTTTCATGATTCATTGTGTCCCACAGTTTGAGTGGAAGCGCAGAAGTTTAAAATTTAATAACACATAAAGAGGACCCAAAGAAATAATCCTTTTCCATAAAGTTTTGCTCCTATATTCGAATCCTATTTTTAAAATGCTTTCTTCTATTTATCATTCACCAAGTAATTACAAGAGCCAGTATCTGAATTCTCACTCTACTTTCTGAAAGCACCATTAGGGGAGAAATAAAGGAAGAATCTGCAAATTCCCTTCATCTCGCCCACTCTCAAGTCTTGATCTCTCCCTTCCCTAAGAGGCGCCAGGTTCCCGCTGTCGGAGCCGCTGTGAGCATCATCGTTTTTCTCATTGTTCTGCCGGGGCAGGTGAGTAAATGAGGTCAGACAACTTTTATGGGCACTAGAGGCAGCCAGAGGGTAGAGGCTGCTGATGACATGCTTTTGCTCAGTGATGACACCTCAGCGACTGGCAGTGATTCCCAGGGCCAGCCTGGAACGTTACACAGCAGGACTAGTGACCATGTTAAATCACTGGCAGCAATGACAGTAAGAGATGTCACTCCACCGCTTCAGGGCCTGCTTAGGGCAACACCATTCGGTTTGTCTTTGGGGGGGTTCTCCCTTCTGCTTGTCCATCATCCTTCCCCATTCCAAATTCCCCTGCCTCTATATTATCTGTGAAGTGCCTGGTCATCAAACACCTCTCTATCAACACTGTGATGTGTGTGCTCAGATTTAATCCACGCACGGGACCACTGGCCAATGAAACGCTCTAGGCAGAAATCAGCTCCACCAAAATAACAAGCAGTGTTTCTTGTTTCCTTGCATGCCTTCTTTTTTTTTTTTAACTAAACATTTGACTCTAACAATGTGGCACCTGGAAACCAGATTCTTCTGCTTTCCCAGGGGTTGCTGGCTTTTGCTATTGGTTATGTTTATTGCTTTTGCTTTTTCTGCTTGTCTACACAGCAAGGATCAACCTGAGATGTAAACTTAAGGTCTTCTCAGGTGCTTTCCAAGCTAGTGAGTTCATGATTACTTTCTAATTTTCCTCGTATATACATAGCCTTTAATGTCTAGCTTCCAAAAGAGAAAATTTTGTGGGAGAAAATAAAGGTCACTGGCATGCTATTCGGGGGGCGGGGTCCTATTTGCCGACCCTGAGTGGGGGATGGGAATGGGTAGGGTGGCGGATGGGTAGCTGCTATTGAGCTAAGAGATAAAATTAAGCAGATCAACCACAATTTGCTGTCCAAGTCTTCCCCTGGAATTTGCAAGCCTTCAATAGACTCGCGTTCCAAAGTAGTTCCATCAGATTCTGCCCAGTGTAATTGCTGTGGAGATGGGGAGACTGTTTCGGGGTGCTCCTACCACACCGTCTTCCCTAAGTCCTCCGTGAGGTGTGCTCTTAACTGTGGAAAACTGAAAGGGAAGTCTGGTTACCTCAAAATCAAAAGAGAGATTTTACTGAAGATCCCTTCTGCTTCTCATCAATGTTCTTACAGAAGTTTACCTAAGTGTGGGTTAAATAATCATAATTTTTAAATGCTTTAAAGGTGTTTTTATCTTTTCAAAATGCTTGAATCTTTAAAGTATTCTTTCTCACCTTTTTGGCAAATTTTGTGATGTATGTTAGTAATTATCGTGAGTGTTCCAGAATCATTTATTAACAAAATATGGCATTTCCCTGGCAAGAAAATCCCATTAGTGCTTTGCAATAAAAGCCCTGTAAGTGGAGTTCTAAGTACTTCATCAGCTTCCTGTCCTTTCTTTGAATGACAGCCTGAACCATTAAAAACAGTCAGCACTAAAATGATTTATTTTCATCTAACTAGAGATTACTTAATTTAATTAAATATGCTTTATGCTTTGCAATTGCCACAAAGTGGTTCCTGCAGACTTCCAGCTCATTATTTAATGCACCCACAGCCTCAGTGGAACACTAAGAGGATACAGATTTTAGACCTTTCAGTTCCACTTTGTAAACATCTTTAAAAATTCAAGAACTCTCCGGAAATTCTGTGTTGGCCTGTGAAACTTACATAATTCTTGGTCATTTTTTACCACAGTTACTATACTTCCTTTTGCACTTCTGTTATTCTGACTGGCTTGTTGTGCTTGTATTCACACCATAAAGGCTAAGGATTACTCCCACAAACGTTAAGAATTGCATTTTTAATTTTTCACGGCTTTATTTAACTCACCCCGGTTCCTTTTCACTGCTGTACACAGGAACAATTTCCCCACTTGAAAGCTTCATTTTCCAGGTTTGAAATTTTAAAATGTACCAGTTTCTCAATTTAAAGTAAAATTCGCGGTTTTCAATCTACGAGTACACCTCGTTTCAGAATTCCTTATATCACAAAGATACAACGGCATTCCTGAAAGTCTTTGTCCCTTGAGGATAAACAGAAGTTCCTCTCATCTTCTTACTGACGCTCAGATTATTGCAGTTTGAGACAAGGCGGGCACAAGCACAGCTGATGGAAGCCAAAGAGCTGCTAGTGCTGACCACACTACCAAAGGCTGCAAGTTGAGAACCAGTTTCACCACCTTAGTTGCACAGTTACAGGAAAGTCCATCTTCTCTATGAATTTCTTCTTCTGTAAAATGACAATTGCAATAGCACCTGCGTGAGACGGCAACGGTGAGGAGCACATACGCGAGTATAAATGAGAAAGCGCAGTAACCGCCATGCAGTGAGCATCAATTAACGGTGGCCTTTCTCAGCTACATGTTACGCAGCACCACATTCGTCCTGGAATCCTGCACTTCATGTACATTGTATCCCACCTTCAAAATATCTCTGCGGCGTGGACACTATGCGCCCATTCTACATGGGCGGAACCCGGCAGCTCAATGCCTTGCCCAAGGCCGCGGAAGAGATGAAGGTGACGCCAGAGTCAACACAGATCTGGGCCGGACTGCCTCGCCCTCTCCTCTCTCACGTCCTCCCTCCAGAGCAGAGAAGTCAGAAAAGCAAACCTAAACGCACGCATTAAAATCTTGCTTGGCACACTCCAAATACGTAGGAAAACCCGAAACGTGACATCTCTTCTAGGAGGAAAGGCAGAGCTGATCGAAAACCAAAGGGAAGCTGGAAAAAACTGCATACTCACCTGAGCTGGGAGTTTGAGGAAAGTTGCTGGTCACCCTCAGCTCAACACCCCCTCTGCTGCTTCTTAAGTCTTGCCTGAAAGGAGGATACGGAGCCACGCAGAGGGTCCCAGATTGGACTATAACACTTGCAAGGACAAGATGTAAATAGGCTACAGGAGAGTGGAGCCCTGGGATCAGGCAAGCCCTTCCCAGCCTGCACAGCTACACCCGCACGCTGGGACCGTCCGCCCACTGGTGTCGGGAACCGCAGCCTCTGCCTCGAGACTAGAGGATGATGAGCCTGTCGCCTTCCTCAGGGGCAAGATCAGACGGCTCGTGCTTGCAGTTCCTGCAGCTCTCAGTGGACTACCTGGAGCTGTAACTGCTCAGAGAGAGTCTGCTGGACTCTCATCTGTACTGCCTTTCCCTCATCCTCACCCGCAGCTGTCACATGACTTCCTGTGTCTCTGAGGAAACAGAAACAAGCAAAAGAGACTTTCCTCAAACTTTATCCACCCGCCTGAATAGAATCTCACTCACATACGTGCTTCCCAGACTGTGCCCATAAATGAAACCCCTTGCTCCTTCGTCTAAAGTCAGCCCCCAAGTTGTACACAGATGCCACTCGTCCAAGTTTGGCACATGCGCTCAGTGAACTGATTCACTAGCTGCTGCTTCCTTAAGTGAGAGGAAGACAGATGCGGAGAGCAGGAGTGAGAGAGGGATCGAGAGAGAGAGAGCGCCGGTGAGGATGGAGCTGGACTTCACTCCTACTGCTGTGCAGCCGGAGTCCCAGGGACCCTTAGAGCTACTTTAACCTCTTGGGGCAATTGCGTCTTGGTAAAAGCAAAAGACGAAGCTGCTAGCCTTCAAACTCTTTATCACCAAATCATGAAATAACTTCATGCTTTATTTCCTTACAAATATCTCAGTTGTAAGGGGAAGAAAACCCGTACACGTGTAGCCTTACTACCTGGGGGCGCTCTAAGAAGCAGTTTTGTTAAGAAACTTTCTCTTCTGTTTCATTATTCTCTCAACAAAAATTTTATTTTCTCACTCAAATTTCTCATCACACTTTCTTTCTAGGTATGTCTTAGTCTATCCACCTTCTCAACTGTTTCCTAATCTACTCCAAAGCAATGTAGTATGGCATGTGCACTCATAAATGGTTTATAAATGAATAAATATAGATGGATAGATAGACAGACAGACAGACAGATAGATAGATAGATAGATAGATAGATAGATAGATAGATAGGCAGTCAGACAGACAGCTATAGATGCAGATATAACTCTTCCACCTCTGATAGGAATAGGATGTCAGCCGAGTTCTGAACTTTTCCTTGTCTTCTCCTAGAAATCTTTGGAGAAATAAATTGCTCAAACTCTAAACTGTAATTGTGTCACATATATGAGACCAGCACAAACTGTGGGAGGAGCTTTAAAGACATATTGCTGTGATGGGGAAGTTCAGGGGAATATGGTTGTTTAAGTATCAGGAGCCTGGAGAAGATGTTCACTCCTAGGAGGGAACTCCACTTAAACAGGAAGTGGTTCGTGAGCGAAATAGAGAAAGATGGCCGGGAAGCACTCAAGAGCAAGTCAAAGGAGACAGACCTCAGGAAACAACACCTTCTAAGAAACATTCAAGGACAGACCTCCAGAAGTTTCCTCCTTTTTAGTCAAGGTCATCCCAACTTCACTATCTACTGAGCATAGGGCAACTAAGAAAGATGGAAGAAAAATATCCAAAGTAACTTTCAGTTAAAAAATAGAACAACAAAATAAATTTTACACCTTCCAGGAGGATGACAAAACTGCATGAAAAGAGATGGAGATACAAATAATAAAATCTCTTTTCAAAGAAAAATCTATAACCTAAAATAGTTATGTCAATATGTAAGAAAGAATGAAAATACAATATTTAAATTCCTAACTCAAAACATTAGAAGAAGAAAAGTAAAATATAGAAAAGGATGAATGGCACAACTGAAAAATGCACAAGGTTTAGGAACAAAAATTTCATAGGGAAGAAGTTCTTGTTATCAATACCACTCATAATAAGAGATAAGTAAATTTAAAATTACATCGAGATGCCATTCCTCTATTGTCAGATTAGCAAAAATCCACAAACACTGACAAAATAGTTTTTTAATCAAGTTAACAGAAAATATACACCCTTAAACAATCCTGATAGGAACACAAATTGCTATCCCGTTAAGGAGATCAATCAGCAACATATATTCAAACAAACAAAATTGCATTTTATGCTTTGCTCTAGGAATCTAATGTCTTGTCTTACATGTATGTATATCTCCCCTGCGAAAAAAAAAAAGCCAGTCATCACACCAACATTCCAGCTACATGTGTTGTTATTGTAGCATTATTTTTCATGGCAAAAGATTAGAAACAAGGTGGTATGATTCATAAAAAAAAAGCTGCTAAATTCAAGTGAATTAAAATAGAAAAACACTTGCTTTTCAAAATACACTGTTAAGAATTGAAAACTGCCACAGACTGGCAAAAAAATGTTTTAAAAACGTATCTGAAAAAAGACTTGTATCTATAATAAATAAAGAACAATTTCAACAGTTACAGTGCAACTGAAAGTTAGGCAACAGATTTGAGCTGCTATTTCACAGACTAAAAGGAGCATGTTGGAAATATAAAAATAACCAATAAATGCAAACAAAAACCGCCACTACAGGTACTGCTACACATCCACTGGAAGGGGTAACATTTAAAGACAAACAAACAAATAAACGAAAAACAATGCCGAGTGCTGGAGAGGATGCGGAGTAAATGGATCTGTAATAGACATGCAAAATGGCTCGGTCCCTTTTTAAAACAGTTCAGATCGGTTACAAAGAATCAGAGGGAACTGCTGATTGATGAAAATGTTCTACATATTGATTATTTTATACCCTTTTAAAATGATTTTAATTGAGGTATGATTGACAAACAAAAATACATGTTTAATGTATAAATCTTGATGAGTTTGGAGACAAGTATATGCCCATGAAAATGTCACCATATCTATGCTCTAAACTTGACCATCATCTCTAAGAATCTCCTTTCTCCCTCTTTTTTTGATAGGAACATTTAACATAAATATTAAATCACTATGTTTTACATCTGAAGCTAAGATATTATTGGGTGTCAATTATACCTCGTTTAAAAAAATTTAAAAACACAACAAAAAATAGCATAGGAATTTGATGCTTGTGAAATAAAATTATTTCCTTTCCTTCAAAAATTTTTAAAAGAGCATTTAACATAAGATCCACCCTCTCAGCAAATGTTTAAGTATACAAGTGTACAATATTGTCGACTCTATGCACTGTGCTATTCAGATGTCTAGGACTGAATCGTCTTGCATAAATGACCGGTAACCACCATTCTACATTCTGCTTATATGAGTTTGACTGTTTCAGATTCTTGATATTAAGTGGGATCATGTAGTATTTGTTCTTCTGTGTCTGGCTTATTTCACTCAGCATAACGTCTTTCAAGTTAAACATGTTGTAGTAAATGGCAGGATTTAATTATTTTTTAAGACTGAGTAATATTCTATTGTATGCATATACCACATTTTCTTTATCCATTCTTCTGTTAATTTAGGTATTTCCGTATCTTGGATATTGTAAATAATGCTGCAATGAACATGAGAGTGCAGATATATCTTTGAGATTCTGACTTCAGTTTTGAGGGTATACAGCCAACAGCGGGGTTGCAAGGTCATCTGGTGGTTCTATTTTTAATTTTCTGAGGACTCTCTTAACTATTCTCCATAGTAACTGTACCAACTTCCATTTCCACCAACAGTGCACAGGGGTACCCTTTTCTCCACATCATCACCAACACTTTTTATCTTCTGTCTTTCTGATAATAACCATTTGAGGTATGAGGTGATATCTCATTGTGGTTTTTGATTTACATTTCCCTGATGATTAGTGATGTTGAGGGCTTTTTCATATGCCTTTAGTCTCTTGTATGACTTTTTAGAAGAAATGTTTGTTCAAGTCCTTTGCCCATTATTTAATCTGATTCTTTTGGACTTCTGATATTGAATCACAGGAGTTCCTCACATATGTTGGATATTCACCCTGTATCAGATGTACAACTTACAAAGATTTGTCTCTGTTTCTTAGGCTGCCATTTACCTTTGTTGATTGCTTCCTTTGCTGTGTGTGCAGAAGCTTTTTAATTTGATGCAATCCCATTTGTCTGTATTTGCTTTTGTCTGTGCTTTTGGTGTTATATCGAAGAGATCATTGCCAGGTTGTGACAGACCTTCACATCACACCCACCTCCTCTTCCTCCCAGGCCTTTTCTAATTGTAATGCTCCAGGCCTCGCTCTTCCTGTAGACAAAGGGGGGAAAGTACACTGTCCTTGGAAGACACATATCAATGAGGGCAGAGCTTCCCTGTGTCTGAACTTTGAAATTCCTGTGTAGAACAGAGCTTCTCCTGCCCTTTTCTTTCCCCCAATCTTGGGCTTGGTACCACTCAACAGTGTTAGAAAGCAAGAGATAAGCTCATGTTCGGCTGGGTTGTATA